GGGAGCGGCCGTTGCACTCCAGTCTGGGCGACAGAGTGAGACTCCAACTCAAAAAAAAAAGAATAAATGGATGCCCCTGTACTCTCAATGCAGGGGCAGCTTCTTGTATATTTTTGTTTAGACATCTTCAATATCATACCACATCTGGCCGCCCATTGGCATCCTTCAGTTCCAGGTAGGGCTTCCTCTTTACTCGGTTCAGATCTTCATGCAATCCATCCAGAAGAAAGGCTAACAGCTCCTGAGAATCTTGTTGCTGGTAGCCAGAAAACTGAGGGGCAAAACGTCCCACTTGGGTCTACAACAAAAGTAACTGCATTAGAAGGAATAATATATAAAGAACCAGTTAAATGAATATTGTCATCAAAAACAGCTTTGCAGAGTCAGCTGGGGCAGTGAGAGAGAACAACTACACCTGGTCGAGGAGCCCAATTAGCTCCTGAAGAGCCACCAGAGAGAAGGCTCACATCAGAGAGCCAGGACAATGACAGACCTGGAATCTGGGTCACTGGTCTAACCCCTTATGAGGAAATGTTGGCCCCCGAGTAGCCACATCCAAGTACAGACATGAATACCGCTCCAACATCATTCTTTATTTGTCTTAAACTCCATAAAAACTAAAAATGACACTGGAATCAGCTAGAGGAATCCTTTAGCACATAGCCCTCAGGCCCCTAAATAACTATCTGTCCAATATTACTTTCCATCTGTGATCCTCAGATCCCTAACCAGCAGCATTAGCATCACCTGGGAGCTTAGTAGAAATGCACATTCTCAAGCCCCAACCCAAACCTATTCAATCAGAAACTCTGGGGTTAGTCTAGCAAGCTGTGTTATAGTAAGTCCTCCCAAGAGATTGTGATAAATCCTAAAATTGTAGAACCACTGCTCTACACCGGTGCTGTCCAATACCATAGCCACTAACATGTGGCTATTTAAATTTAAGTTAAAATTAAATGCAAGCCGGGCTCGGTGGCTCAGCCTGTAATCCCGCGCCTTTGGGAGGCTGAGGTGAGTGGATTGCCTGAGCCCATGGGTTCGAGACTAGCCTGGGTAACTTGGTGAGACCTCGTCTCAACAATAAATAAAAAAATTAGCCAGGCATGGTGGCAAGTGCCTGTAGTTCCAGTTACTTGGAAGGTTGAGGCAGAAGGATTGCCTGAGGACAGCAGGTCAAGGTTGCAGTGGTCCTAAGGGTGTCACTGCACTCCAGCCTGGGAGACAGAGTGAGACTCGACACACACAAAAAGCAGTCTCTCGGTCAAATGAATCATATCTCAAATGCTCAGTAGCAATGAGCTAGTGGCTACAGACCAGACAGTGCAGATAACACGTCCATCACTGAGGAAGCTCTACACTAACCCTAACATCCCTAAATACTGTCTGCAGTTGTTTATTTACATTAGCTTGAGTTCAGTGTATTGTCATCCAATTCTAGTTTCTTTTTTTGCTTGCTTGTGTGTTTTGTTTTTATTTTTTTATTTTTTATTTTTTGAGTTGGAGTCTCACTCTGTCACCCAGACTGGAGTGCAGTGGCCGCTCCCAGCTTCCACCTGCTGGGCTCCGGCGATCCTTCTGCCTCAGCCTTCCAAGTAGCCGGAATACAGGCGCGCGCTACCACACCTGGCTGATTTTTAATTTATTGTAGAGATGAGGTCTCGCCAACTTGCCCAGGTGGGTCTCGAACCCGCGGGCTCAGGCAATCCACTCACCTCAGCCTCTCAAAGGCGCGGGTTTACAGGCTGAGCCACTGAGCCCGGCTTATTTTTTTGAGTTGGAGTCTCATTCTGTCATCCAGACTGGAGTGCAATGACCACTCCTGGCCACCACAGCCTCGACCTGCTGGGCTCCAGCGATCCTTCTGCCTCAGCCTTCCAAGTAGCTGGAACTACAGGCGCGCGCTACCACACCCAGCTAATTTTTGATTTGTTGTAGAGACGAGGTCTTGTCAAGTTGCCCAGGCAGGTCTCAAACCCACTGGCTCAGGCAATCCACTCACCTCACCCTCCCAAAGCGCTGGGATTACAGGCTGAACCACCAAGCCCGGCATGTTTTTTTGTTTTTAAAAGCAGAACATCTATTGCGTGACTAATTGTTGAAATTCTTTTTTTTTGAGTTGGAGTCTCACTCTGTCGCCCAGACTGGAGTGGCCACTGCAGCATTGACCTGCTGGGCTCCGGCGATCCTTCCGCCTCAGCCTTCCAAGTAGCTGGAACTACAGGCGTGCGTTACCACACCTGGCTATTTTTTGATTTATTGTAGAGATGAGGTCTCACCAAGTTGCCCAGGTGGGTCTCGAACCCGTAGGCTCAGGCAGTCCACTCACCTCAGCCTCCCAAGGCACGGGATTACAGGCTGAGCCACCGAGCCTGGCTGTTGAAATTCTTACCAAGCACTAGATGCTGCAACAGCTGCCCTCTTGGGTTTAGGTGTAGTTCCTTCATGGAATCCATGCCTGAATCTGTGGTATACAATTTTTATGTTCCTCATCTGACCAGTCCTGGTGGTATTTTGTCTTTTAGCCTTGGCACTCCAGTTATACATTCTCTTGCACTTGGCATGGTAGCCACATTTGCCACAGGTCAACTTCTGAAAGTGGTAGGCCTTAGAGCCACAGCGGCGGCACACCATGTGTATCTTATTGTGACGCTCTCCAAACGATGGCATTCCCATCTCACTTCTATGGCCGAGACCAGAGAGTTCTTTTAAGTCAGAGTCTCACTGTTGCCCAGATTGGAGTGCAGTGGCACGTTCACGATCACCACAGCTTCAACGTGCTGGGCTCAAGCGATTCTTCCAAGTAGCTGGAACTATAGGTGCACACTGCCATGCCTGACTAATTTTTTTTTTTTTTTTGAGTCAGAGTCTCATTCTGTCGCCCAGACTGGAGTGCAGTGACTGCTCCCGGCCACCACAGTCTCGCCTGCTGGGCTCCGGCGATCCTTCCGCCTCAGCCTTTCAAGTAGCTGGAATTATAGGTATGCGCTACCACACCCGGCTGATTTTTTGATTTATTGTAGAGATGAGGTCTCACTGCCCAGGCGGGTCTCGAACCCACGGGCTCAGGCAATCCACTCACCTCAGTCTCCCAAAGGCGCGGGATTACAGGCTGAGCCACCAAGCCTGGCTAATTTTTTGATTTATTGTAGAGTCGAGGTCTCATCATGTTGTCCAGACTAGTCTTGAACCTGTGGGCTCAGGCAATCCTCCAGCCTCTGCCTCCCAAAGTGCTGGGATTACAGACATGAGCTACTGCACCTGGTATCTATTTTCTTTATTAACACAGTATGTGAACAGTAATTTACATATTATTTTCCAGGGATTCATGTGACCAATGGGATGAAAGAGAATTAGTTTTTAATTTCAACAAACCACCTTAGATTCTAATTTCCTCATTGAGCTAAGGCTCTACTTTTTTTCCTCTCTGAATCATAGACATGCATATCATTTTTTTTTTTTTTAAAGTCGGAGTCTCACTCTGTCCCTCAGGCTGGAGTGCAGTGGCACGCTCACAGCCACTGCAGCCTCAACCTGCTAGGCTCAGGCGATCCTTCCGTCTCATCTCTTCAAGCAGTTGGAACTACAGGAGTGAGCCACCACACCTGGCTAATTTTTTTTTTAATTGTAGAGATGAGGTCTCACCAAGTTGCCCAGGCTGGTCTCGAACCCCTGGTCTCAGGCAATCCTCTTGTCTTGGCATCCCAAAGTGCTAGGATTACAGGCTTGAGCCACTGCGCCTGGTCCACATCTTCTTTATCATATGCTTTGTGGAGGCTTCTTGAACCCCAGTAGTGCGGGCTGAATAGGATTTCTCAGATTTTATGAGGCAAGGCACCACCTCTTCAGTAGGAAATAGCCTTTAGAGCAATGGAAGGCCCAAGTTGCTCCAAGTGCCTACTTTAGTTCACCCATCTCCTTCCCAAATCTTCCTGGCTGACAAACAATGGTGAATCACGTCATCTTTCATGAATGTCAGACCAATTCCTGATTTAGAAGACCCATCTCAAACCACAGAGGATGTAGGGTCCAGGTTCAGAGAACCTGGAAGTAGCCTTCAGATGACACTGAAAGTTAAACTGAATTTTTGTAGTCTGGTTAGGGCATTGACCATTTAAATATTGCTACCGGGCAACCCCCTCAGGTCCCCTCCCAGCGTGGAAGCTTTTCTGTACTCTAAATAAATCCTGCTTTAAAATAAATAAATAAATATTGCTACCACAGAATAAAGCATTCTAAACAACTAGTTTACAAATAACTTCTGGGGCAAGACATGTGTGATAAATGAATGAATGATTTTTTTTAAAAGGGTTTGACAATGTGGTGCTTTTAGTCTCGGATCCCATCTTAATCCCAAAATGCGAGTAAGGAAACACCTCATTTTAACTCTAAACCACTCTCTCCAAAATGGGAAAAAGGAACAGGTGAACAGCCCTAATCCAAAAATCCAAAATCTGAAACATTTGAGGGCTGATATGCTGCGCAAAGAAAGTATTCACTACAATATTTGGTTTTTGGATTAGGGATGCTGATCCAGTAAGTATAATATAAATATTCCAAAATCTGAAAAACCTTGAAATTGGAAACATTTCTGGCCCCAAGCATTTCAGATAAGAAAAACTCAACCTAGCTGGGCTCGGTGGCTCAGCCTGTAATCCCGCGCCTTTGGGAGGCTGCGGTAAGTGGATTGCCTGAACCCGCGGGTTCGAGACCCACCTGGGTAACTTGGCGATACCTCATCTCTACAATAAATCAAAAAATCAGTCAGGCATGGTAGCGCATGCCTGTAATTCCAGCTACTCGGAAGGCTGAGGTGGAAGGATCGCCGGAGCTAAGCAGGTCGAGGCTATGGTGGCCAGGAGCGGCCACTGTACTCCAGTCTAGGCAACAGAGTGAGACTCCAACTCAAAAAAAAAAAAGAAAAACTCAACCTGTATATAATTCAACCTACTTTGAACATGCGAGGTGCCACGTGAGCGTCCCTTCCAGACCACATCTGCTTAATGAGTTCTGCATAGGCCTCTGCAATTTCCCCTTTCATCCCCAGAGGGTTGTCTCTGTTGATTTCGATTTCATACTCATCTTTGAGAAAGTAGTCGGTCAATGGTGCGGTGTTGCTCAGGCACTGAAACAGAAAATGATCAGAGTGTATACCCTTCTAGAGAGCAAACAGAGATACAAGGTAAACCAATTTCTAAAGGGCCACTGAAGATCAACCCCAACAAAATGAAGCACTCAGCAGATTCTCTAAAGGTTCACAACAGTAAGGCACAGCGTCAAGGAGCTCAAGCTGTAGACCCCCTCAAGGATCTACTTCTTAGGGATATGATCTTGGAGGACCTCACATGCACTGCTCAAGGATTTGTCTCTGAAGCAAATTACCTGAGGGCAAAAGCAGAATAATTTTTTATTTAATAAAAGATCTCTTTTTTTTTTTTGAATTGGAGTCTCACTCTGTTGCCCAGACTGGAGTGCAGTGGCTATTCCCGGCCACCGCAGCCTCGACCTGCTGGGTTCCAGCGATCCTTCCGCCTCAGCCTTCCAAGTAGCTGGAACTACAGGGCCGTGCTACCAGGCCCAGCTAATTTTTAATTTATTGCAGAGGTGGGGTCTCGCCAAGTTGCCCAGGCGGGTCTTAAACCCACAGGCTCAGGCAATCCACTCACTTCGGCCTTCCAAAGTGCTGGGATTACAGGCTGAGCCACCGAGCCCAGCCAAAAGATCATTTTTTTTTTTTTTTTGAGTTGGAGTCTCACTCTATCACCCAGGCTGGAGTGCAGTGGCCGCTCCTGGCCACCACAGCCTAGACCTGCTGAGCTCCGGTGATCCTTCCGCCTCAGCCTTCCAAGTAGCTGGAACTACAGGCATGTGCTACCACACCCGGCTAATTTTTTGATTTATTGTAGAGATGAGGTCTGGCCAAATTGCCCAGGCGGGTCTCGAACCCACGGGCTCAGGCACTCCACTCACCTCAGCCTCCCAAGGCGCGGGATTACAGGCTGAGCCACCAAGCCTGGCTCAAAAGAGCATTTTTAAGATAATAATTTTTTAATGAGAGAGACTGGGAAATGCCAGTGTTTCACGAGAAGACTAAATATAAATAAGCTGAAGGAAAAATATCTTACTAGAGTCAAAACATCATGGGAGGGAAAATTCATAATTAGATAGTAAAAAAAGCCAGTAAATATATTATCATTGTATATGTGTATAATTTTAATTCTTCAATTAAAAAATAAATTTGAACGCTGCATTTTATCAAATGCTTTTACTGTATCTACTGAAATAATCATACAGTTTTCTCCTTTATTCAGTTACTATGTTAAATGGCACTGATTCATTTTTCATGTGTTTAAAAACCTAATTCTCTTGGCACAAACCCCACCTGGTTGTATATTATCACTTTTATTTAGATATCATAACAGAGGTCTTGCGATGTTGCCCAGACTAGTCTCAAATTCCTGGGCTCAAGCAATCCTCCCAAGTAGCTCGGACTACAGGAGCCTACCATCACATCTAGCTTTAAATTTTATTTGGTAAAAGTTTATATAGGTTATGTGTACCTATAGTCATGAGATATGATATCTAAAATTTTCTAGCTGGACACAGTGGCTCATGCCTGTAATCCCAGCACTTTGGAAGGCAGAGGCAAGAGGATTGCCTGAGCTCAGGGATTTGAGACCAGCCTGGGCAACTTGGTGAGACCTCATCTCTACAATAAATCAGAAAAATTTGCTAGGCCTGGTGGTGCATGCCTGCGGTTCCAGCTTCTTGAAAGGCTGAGGTGGAAGGATCACCTAGGCCCAGTAGGTCGAGGCTGTGGTGAGTGTGACCATGCCACTGCACTGTAGCTTGGGCAACAGAGTGAGACTCACTCAAAAAAAATTTTTAAATAAACAAAATAAAATTTTCTTTTTCAAAATTCCTGCCGGGCGCAGTGGTTCATGCCTGTAATCCCAGCACTCTGGAAGGTGGAAGCAAGAGGATTTGCTGATCTCAGGGATTCAAGACCAGGCTGGTCAACTTGGCAAGAACTCATCTCTACAATAAATGTAAAAAAAAAAAAAAAAAATTAGCTGGGTGTGATGGTGCACGCCTGTAGTTCCAGCTACTTGGAAGGCTGAAGTGGATCGCCTGAGCCCAGCAGGTAGAAGCTGTGGTGGCCGTGAGCATGCCACTGCACTCTAGCCGGGATGACAGAGTGAGACTGACTCAAAATAAAGAAAGAAAAATTCCTCATCAGATTTTGATGTCAGAGTATGCTGTCTTGGAAAATGATTTGAGGAGTTGTTCTTCTTTTTCTACTCCATGGGAGTTTGTCTATGATTAGTATCATTTCTTCGTTAAATCTTTGAATACATTCACTAATAAAACCATCAAGAACAAGAATTAGCCAGGTGCGGTATCTCATATCTGTAAACCCAACACTTTGGGAGGCAGAGATGAAAGGACTCTCTGAGCCCAGGGGTTTGAGACCAGCCTGGGCAACATGGCAAGACTTCTTCTCTATGATAAAACAAAAAATCAGCCGGGCATGGTAGTGCATGCCTGTGGTTCCAGCTACTTGGAAGGCTGAGGTGGAAGATCACCTGAGCTCAGCAAGTCAAAGCTGAGGTGGCCATGAGTGCGCCACTGCACTCCAGCCTGGTGACAAGGTGAGACTCCCACTCCAAAAAAAAAAAAAAAAGAACAAGAATTATTTTTGCTGTTATAAGTCTTTTAATTACTGCATCAATTTCTTTAACAAACATAGGACTATTATTATTTTAATTTTAATTTAATTTATATTATTTGTTTTCTTGCTTGTTTGAGTTGGAGTCTCACCTTGTTGCCCAGGCTGGAGTGCAGTGGCACGCTCACAGCCACTGCAGCCTCTACCTGCTGGGCTCAGGCAACCCTTGTGCGTTAGCCTTCCAAGTAGTTGGAACCATAGGAATGCGCCATCACACCCAGCTAATTTTTCTTGATTTATTGTAGAGACGAGGTCTCACCATGTTGCCCAGGTTGGTCTTGAACCCATGAACTCAGGCAATCCTCTCACCTCCACATCCCAAAGTGTTGGGATTACAGGCGTGAGCCACCGTGCCCAGCATTTTTTT